AACGGTAATCTAAATGAGTGCCCTTTATCCCACAATAGTGATCAAAAGAATTCGAAATCTCTATTATAATTCTCAATTAGGGTAGACTATCAAGATTATTCACAAAATTAGCCAAATAGTATATGGGTTTATGGGAATATACTTTTCGTCTTTGTATGAGAATATTTCTCAGTCGTCGGGCACCTCTTCCTGAAGAGGGAAGTCGAATCTGTCGACTTCGTCGAAACAATTTGTTTTGGATAAAAAATCGTTTATATACATAGGCATTGTAACTATGATTTTTCATCTACATTATAACGCTCATATTACTATGTAGGCCGATATTCAGACTCGTTGCTTGTTCTTAAGATCGTCTTAAGAATTTGCTATCCCTGTCTGTCCCATATTCCCAGTCCTTGTCTTGTACAGGGAACAAGGACTGAAGCAAATGCTTAAGACGATCTTAAGAATAAGCAACGACTCTGAATACCGGTAACAGACTGTCGGGAACACGAGTATAAATATCAGCATGTTCTGATTAAATAATGACAGGGCGCGCCAGATTTGAATTTCCTCTTTCTGAAAAGGTACCTGATGACCAAATATTCAAATATTCTCACAGAAGGACGAAAAGTGAAAACCCATATTTTGCACTATTTTTGCCTGGTCATTTTTGATGAAACACAGCAAAAAACGTGAAAATTCTACAAACGCGTGGTCACGTGATTATACTAGCTTCTTACTATCAAAGATCGTGAAGACTGTATTCTATCCAGTGAGAAAATATAAGTTTAAGCAACGATTCGCACTCCTGTTCATGAAACGTAACGACGGTAGATCGAAAACTCTGTATCGTCAATTAAATACGAATCAGATCTGTCGTCGCCGACGAGACGTAATGACGACCGTCGTGTATAGCGGCCAGTTGGTGACAGATCGTTTCCATAGATAAGAACTGATAAAAATAGACCGCGCTAGTCATGGACGAGTCTGTAAGTGGAAGCTTCAGAAGAAGAGAAAGAGAACGACAACCGATAGGCCCCTTCTCTGTCCTTGTCTAACGAACGCCATCCGCAACAGTCAATTCTATGCCTGCCGTCACGAGAGTCCATACCAGTTTCGCGCAACTTGAAGGAAGTGCGTTAAGGACGTTAGTCCCAAAATCCATTTTCTATAGAATGTTTTGAAATTTTGCATTAGTATTCAATAGAGCATCACAAATATATGTGTAAAATCTTAGAGAGATCTGATGATTGGGAGAGTAGCAATAAATTATCAAATTTGGAACTTTACCATGTGAAAACGAGAAAAGGCCAGTAAAATGATGGATTTCAGTAATTTAAGGAAAAACGGTTCTATAGATATTTTCAAAAAACTGACACATGCTAAATTAACTT